CATATACACGCACACACACATACACTCACATATGCATAACACTGTACACATACACACATACCCACATATATTCGCACATACTTGCATAATATACATACTGTATAAACTCATTAATTATGTGCATGACTTGCCATATTTCAGCCTGTTATGCATGGTCTGCTATACTGTATACGAATGTGTGCATGTCTTGCCATGTTGAATGTGCATGACTGCCAGGGACGTATCCAGGGCTGCGGCTTCCCCACCCCTTTGTACACAGTGTTAAATTTTAAAGCTTGTTTTTGAGCCAATACAAATTCTTTCCTGGGATCACTCAAAATGAATACTTCTAAAAAATACGTAAATATGCATCAGTACACCTTATACATATAGGACTAGGCCTACTATAATTGTAACACATGCATAAGCGTGATTTTAAAAAATCCATAAATCCCAGGCCAAGTCTTTTAAGATACAAAAATGTGATACTGTATGCTTAAGTTTGGTTTTTATCCTTTTTGCAAGCTTCTTTAACGTTTTGTTTAGTAATACCATACTACTCGTAGAAGTAGTAGTAGGCCTAGTAATAATAATAATAATAATAATAATGACGATGATGATAGTGATAATTGATAATATTAATAATAATTAAAATGTGAAGAAAATTATGCTAAAGGCGGAAAATAAAGTTGTGATTTGTTATCATAATATTATAATATAGTTAAAGCTTAGTAAATTATAGTTAGGCCAAGATCCCTGATAAAAGTAAATGAGGAATTTGTTGGCGTTTCATTTTGAATGGTGATGTGATGATGATGGATTTTACTATGTAAAAGTGTCATTTCCGGCCATCTAGGGGTATTTCCTCAAATTGTCTCTCCCAAACATGGTAGGGCTGGGGTGGTTGTGAAGTCACGGTTTCGAAGTATGTAATAAATCAAAGACAATGTTTTTAAGCTTTGTTTTCTATGGTATATCACACACATTAATAAGATCTCTATGGTTGGCGAAAATCCCTCTTAAGAGACCATGAGAATTTTGTTTGCGCTTCATTGGACTAGTACGGGATGTGATGAAAATGAATTTTACTGTGTCGTTTCTGCCCATCTAGAGGTAATATTTCCTCAAACTTTCTGACCTCAGCTCCAACCATAGCGAGTCTGAGGTGGGTGTCGACTCACAAAATGTCCTTCCCCTCCACCTTTCAAAACAGATCTTCGCCCTTCCCTGGGTATGACATTAAACTGCATCGAGTCGGCACCTGACTCAGAGTGTCTTGTGACTGCTGAGGAGAGGGCGCATAAATTTGTTTTCTGGATTTGATCAGGGTTTTCATGCCCATTTTTCGTGATTATGACTATTTTGGTTAAGAATTTTTTTGATGGAAAAAAAATGGAAACTATTAAAATTTAAGTACGAGAGTGTAATTTCCGGCCATCTAGAGGTACCCTAATCATAAATTTTCTCACCTCAGCCTCAACCATGGTGGGGCTGAGGTGAATCCACCACTGCTGATTTATTATAATTATTGTTGGGACTACTAATTCTATTTATGATGCGTCTAATGCAATTTTCACTTTATCCTCTCAAAACAGTCCTTAAAACGTTCAGAATGCGCTATTTCACAGGATTAGTCCCCTGGACCCCACCGGGGTCCTACGTCCCTCGCATAACGGTTTCCCCCCATTTCAAAATCCTGGCTACGCCCCTGATGACTGCTGTCAGACTGTATGCATGACTGCTTTATGTCAGTGCGCATGACTGCTATATGTCAGACTGTGTGCATGACTTGCCATATGTCAGGCTGTGTGCGTGGTCTGCCATGTAAGAATGTGTGCATGGTCTGCCATGTAAGAATGTGTGCATGTCTTGCCATTATGTCGGACTATGTGCATGACTGCTATATGCCCGACTGTGTACATGATTTGCCATATATCAGAATGTGTGCATGATTTGTCAGACCGTGTACATGTCTTGCCATTACTGTATGTCTGACTGTGTGCATGACTTGCCATGTTAGAGAGTATGCATATCTTCTCATGTCAAACTTGTGTATGATATTCCATTATGTCAAATTGTGTGGATGGAACTTCACAGGTTGATATATAACAATCACAGCTTAAGAATTAAATATTAAAAACTAAAGACGACTTTTAAAAATTATGAATTGTATTTTAAATTATAATAAGCAAAAGCAAGAATTTACCAGAATATAAGTTATAAAACAATTCATTTGAGCATCATGCATCATTTAGACATAAGAAACAACACTAGGCAAGACTTTTTAATACCTTGTTTTATAGAAAACTTATTTTTTAAAGATCATCAGAAGAGGGTGGAAAAAAATTAAAATAAAATTCTGTTTTTTTATTTAGCAAAATGATTTTCCAAAAATCATCTAGGCGGAGCAGAAAATACAAATTAAATTTTATTGATGAATGTAAACAATGTAGTAATGAGATTGAGGAATGCTTTAAATTTATATATTTAAGGAATAAATATATATACATACATATCATATTTTTGGAGATCTCAGGCAAGTGGAGGGCGTAATAAAAATGAATTAAGAATTTCTTTTTTTCTGAGATTTCTATGTATTTTTTGTGAAGGCAGCATTAACTGCCCAAAAATAATATTTTATGTGTATTTGAAATCATCAATATTGGTTCACCAAACAAGGTATAAAACGTCTTGCCTTACAATACAGGTACTGTATTTATATAAAACTTTTTGCAAGAATCTCTAATATAGATATTATAATACATTAGAAAAATGTGGAATGTTTCAAATGTTTCAAAATACACATTAACCACAAATTTATGTACACTGTAAATTTCCTTTAGAAAAATATACACCTAAGTAGCAACACTGTTTTCAAGGTGTGTGCTAGAATAAATATGTCAATTGTTTACCTTCTCTAAAGCTCTGTCCAGACTATCAAATTTTACTTGACAAAAACTATCGTGTGCCTATATATGGTCATGATGTGACATCATCATCACTATATTTAAGCATGTCACGTTTTTGTTAAATAAAAGTTGATAGTCTAGACAGGGCTTAAAGCATGAAAAAAACAGTTCAAGTAATGTACCTAATCCTACTCTTTAAGTACAATAATATGATGTTTGATTAAGAAAAACAATCATTCTTTATAAAAAACAACAGCAAAAGTATAAAACACAAGAAAACTGTTATAATTTCAATAAATAGTAAGAAAATGAAAATTGTACCCGAAATATCTCTTAGAAAGAAAAACACTAAATGTGGGGTACTGAGTAACATTATGTCACTACCCTTTACAAAAGTCAGCTCTGAAAAATGTCAATGTGAAAGGACATTAAGTAACATTTTCTACAATGCCCTAAAGAAGTAAACAATAGCATTTTCAGCAACAAAGCAAAATTATTTGTTAAAAAAATAACTATAGATTTTGAAGTTATCACACTACTGACTACTCCCATTATCATTGAAATGCAAACCTTCTGGTAAACCAAATAGATGCCTACTTTACACTGTTGCATTAAATTCTACAGGAACTAAACTTATGTATAGGTATTATAATGTCCACTTTTTGAAGACAAGACTATTTTTCTAAATAGAAATCTAATTAGCAAAATAAGTAGCTTCTTTCTTTGGTCACTTTTCTAAATTTGTTGAAGATTTTATTTGAATACCATAAAATATAAAAAGAAATGTAAAAATGTGATCACTAAAATATCTAACGTGCATAAAGCATTTGTAAATGTGGAATGTTTTAGAATACACATTAACCTCAATTGGTCCATCAATAAAAAATCCTTTTATTTAATAATTACATTATCATATTGTTTTGTATTTATTGTATATAATTACTGTAAATATATTTTTGATGTTGACATTTACTCTTGATGGCACTAGCAGCTAATAAATTGAATTGAATTGAAATAAAAAAAAAGAAAACCCCCAAAAATAGGCCTTTGATGAGGTTAACATTTACTGTATATGAGGCATGTTGTGGCAAAATGGCTAAGTTGTAGCAAAAATTGAAAATCAAGTTATTGGTATTTTCAGATACCTGAGTATGTGATCTTTAAGGGTGTGTTTCTACTGATAAACACAAAATAATCAATTTTTTAAAACCCTTTTATTAATGAGTGTCAGACAGCTTGCTGGCGTTGCAACTGCAACAATCGGTTTTCGTGACGGAAATTACGTCATCGTTTTGTTTATACAACACTTTGTATAGGATAGTACAGTATCTTTCTCATTCCTGTCATGATGACGAGGAGTAAGATACGATATGGGGCGAGAAGGCAAATGTTTTCGGCTGTGGTCATTGGCACAATTATGGACGACGACCAAACGAGGGCAACGGTAGGCCCAAAAGGGCGGAGAGTCCTAGGCCCAATATCCCCCCCCCCCCCACAAAATAATTACAAAACGAATTCGTCACTACTCAAACGAATTCGTCACTCCTCATGTTTGTTGACGTTTTTAGCTTGTAGGCCTAGGACATGAACAAGGACAAATTTTTTTTTAAAGTTCGCACCTAATACGATCTAGTCTTTGTAGTGATTGACCTGGAGGTCACATTTCACCTGATAATCGTTTATTTTTGTGTTGCAGCTAAAAGGTGCACAGCCAAAATTGGTTATTTGTTGTTCAAACACGCTATCCATTGCGTGTATATAATCAATTTTTTTTAATCGCTTTTTTTCAAACTGGTACCGTTTCTACTGCGAGAATAAAAGCGATTTTTAATTGGTTATTTCTTTCCAGTAGAAACAGGCCCTAAAATTAGGAGTCATTCATTTAAATTGGACATTTCAAGCCTAAGTTATTGGAAAGTGAAAGTACAGTACTCTTAAGGGTCAAGATAAACATGATTTTGAGTAATTGCCTTTCAAATTATTTGTGCATACATTGTTTAATAGAATGAACTATGAAAAATAACATTAAATAAACAATTTGTTAACCACTTCCAGAACTAATACTTTGGGACATGATTAACAAGACATTAAACTGTTGATCTATAGTGAAAAACAATTGGATTTTTAGGCAATTTTTTGAGCTCCCATATTTTATAGCTCATTTACTCAATACTGGACTGTGCGACAACTTAACCATTTTGCCACAACATGCCTCATATGTGTTAAAAAAAACTTATCATTTGATAACACTGCTTGCAAGATGAGGATCTGATACAGTATTCATGGTCATTACATTATTATTATTATTTATATATAATTTCTATATTATTAATTTGAAAGATAATATTTTAATGAGCAATTTGTGACAGGATAAATTTCATCAATAAATTATGTTGTTAGATTTGTAAAAATCTGCTACTAAACACACCAATTTCTCTAAACTTGTTTGTATACTTTACTTATCAGTGCCCTTCAAAGCATTATTTCTTTTAATGCATTACAAATTACTTAAAGGTAAGTGAAAAAAATCGTAGTGCTTTCATGTGTTCATGCTTTTCATGTGATTATCCTACATAAAAAAATCATTCTGGGAAGCATTCTTAATCATACATGATCATTCAACTTATAGACCAATTATATATACCAAATATTATTATATAAAACAGTGGCAGATCCAGCAATTCAACATAGAAAGAGGCAGATCCAGCAAATCAGGATAGAGGGGTCCCAAGAAGGGACACTTACAGATTGAAGTTCCAAACTACATCAGCCCCACCAAGGTTGGGGCTAAGATATGATATTTTATGGCTACAGTATTGCACCTTAGATGGCTGGAAACATCACTCCCAGACACACATTTAATAAAGTTCTTTTTTCTCCATGTTTCCATATCTAATAAAATTTAGGGTGCCCGCACTGGCCTGGCTTGGATGCACCAGTAAAAGATAGTGTGAATAACAGCAAATTATCACTCATAAAGGTTATTGTCAGATGTGGCGGATCAAGGAATTTGAAATAGAGGGGGCCCAGGGGTATACTATGTTACCCCAACATGGTTGGGGCTGAGGCAAGAAAATTAATGATTATGGTGCCTCTAGATGGCTCGAAAAAGCACCCCCAGACTTAAGATTTGCATATAATTTTCTCATTATCTCCTTTTTTCACACTTCAAAAAATTCAAGGGGGACCCGGGCCAGCTCTCCGGGCCAGCTCCCCAATCCCACCACTGAATCCGCCAGCGATCATTATGGATTATAATAGTAAAGCATAGAAACTAGGACAATTGTGCATTCTAATTCATTTAGTGTTTGAATTTGAAAACAATACATTTTGATGTACAGTAAGTCTACGAGCGACTGTTATCTTGAAAGACTTTTCTAAGTGTGGATATCAAAGGTTGAATTAATGTTTTACCACAGTAAAGATTCAGTGACTTTGGTTCGGATAACTTGCGCTGTAAAGGTTGAATCAAGTGCATTTCTGGAGTCATTCCAAGTTGAAACTGAGAATAAAAATAGGAAAGAATTAAAGGGTATTGGAATTGTAAATGTTATTTTATATGATTTTAATTGTTGTTCACTTAAGTAATGGCAGGATGTTGTGAGGGGGACCTTTGCAGATTAAACCTCAATCCAGAAGTTGCTGCTGATCCTGGTCTTGCAGGACACACCAACCTTACAGCTAACTGTACAGCTTTTTAACAGTCTATTGCCACCCTGACTCTTGCACAACTTTTGTCCACGCATCGACGCGGAAAGCGTCGTGGCAAAGTGCACTATTTTGGTGGAGCCGTGTTTGCGGCCTGTTCGCACCCTGACACGTATAAGTTCCGCACTGTCTATGCAATGCGTGGCCAAAAATGCGCCACATTGGCATGCAATGACACGTAATGGCACTACTTGTTTACGCGTAGGTCATGGAGGAACTATTTCCTCCATGCATAGGTTAAGTATTGTTCGTGCATTGTTCACGTCTAACGTACCGCATTGTCCCACATTGTCACGCACAACACACATAGTTCATGCTGATTAAAAATAGGGGATTAATTTTAATAACAATATAAAGGATAGCATCAGCAATACAATTATGCAAGTTTCCTTCCAATTAAAAACCACTTTACTATGGCTCCAAATAAACAAATGTCTTATTATTTTAATTAGAGACCAAAGGCTGCTAAAAACAATGGAAACCCTGATCCCAAATGTGGTCTTAAATTGGGAAGCCTGTACTCAATATATTTCTATTATCATTATTACAATTATTGCATATTATATATTATTTATTACTGCTTTTGAACTCAATATCAACATAACTTGACATCTCTTAATATATACAAAAATGAAAAGTAATGATAAAGAGTCCAGTTCAGTCGCCACAGTCAAAAAGCATTTTGTAGTAAGACCTAAACATTTCTTTCCTAAAATCACGATCTTATATTATATAATTTGTGACAAAATCCAGTTGATATATCAATTTGCACGAGAATAAGCTTGCAAATATTGACTGAGTGGTTAAAACTTACATTTGAAAAAGCTTCATATATCATCCTAAATGGCCACTGTTTCTCATTATGGTACACCCCACGGTTGCCATGGATAACAGAGACACCATGGTCGTTGATCCGTAGGCAATTGTTTGAGTACATACAGTGATCAGGACGAAAATTCCACTCACATGGATATACAAATACACGATCTGAAAAAGATATGCAAACAGATTTTGTAAAATGTTAAGAATTTAAGCAACTCAACATCAAATGTTTTGATATGGTATAGTTCTATTAGACTTGAAGCTCACATCTTCGTGTCTTGTATTCAACAACAAAAAAATTAATTGCAGTTCACCTTTCATCACAATATGGGTCAAAGATCGCGTGTCTTGTCAGCTGTATTTTTTGACTATTTACCTCTGAACTTTCCTTAAGAGACAAAGATGAAAGACAAATTTTTTTGATGCTTAAAATCGCTAGCCAGCGGCTTACGAGAACAATGCACAGTAATGTATTTCCAGTAGCCTTAACAATAAATCAGCACTTGTAATACACACCTCCTCACCTCACCTGTCCTCTTCGTGCCATGAGACACATAAGGCCATAACACTGTATACAAACCTACTACCTACTACCAATTCTTGCACATTGAATAATGTTAGTATTTGGCATCCAATAATTTTTCTCTGATAATGATATATTATTTATTGACCAGTGTCACTAGAGCTTCTGTAAATCATGTTCAAAGTGCTGGAGAATGGAGAAGCAACACTGGTTTATTCTGCTGTCTTCTCTTTGTTCCTTCAGTTGTTTCCCCTTGTTTAGTTTAAGATATTTCTCGGTTTTTGTCTTTTCAAGACTACACTTTTCAAGTGCATAGACTGTTTCAGTAATATGCGCTACACAAGTACACAGATATCATTAGTACAATTTTTTCAAGAGTGAATTATTCTGAAAATACAGTAGAAGAAAACGAATGCACAAATATTAAGTATTATACAGTATGTGGCAAAGACAAGCCAAACCAATCACTCGTCGCAAATCGTGTTTTAAAGAAAATGGCCAAAACATCCTGGAATGTTAAATTTTTAAAAATCTATTTTATTGCACTAAACTAATCTTTACATATCTATACATCATTCTATGCTGTCATTTTCAATGTTAACACAACACTTTTTAAGGATTTGATGATAGTTTCTGCATGAGAAATGCTTAAAATCATAAACTTTGAAGGCTGATTTCTCATATATTGTTCTTTAAACAGCTGTATGTTTTAACACTTGTAACTTCATAAGGAAATGTCCGATTTGAATGATTTTTTTACCATTTTATAGCTATTATTTTACTATCTAACTCTGTATTAATAACTCAAAATCGATTTTTGCGACGAGTGACTGGTTTGGCTTGTCTTTGCCACATATGTTAATATAGTATAATCTCACCTGGATGAAAATGAAATAAAATATTAATTAAGTCTTGATCACCCCAGGTAATCTTAAGTTTATATTCACGGTATATAGGCACTATTTTCTCCGTCCACCCAAATGAGCGCATCCTTGTCAGATTCATAAGCATGACTCCTGAATTCAGCCCAGTCATGCCGTAATATGGATGCCTTGCAAAGCGGTTGTACCAGCCGATATTTTTTATTTCATGTTCAGGTGCTAGGGCAGCTAATTGAGTTGAATTGAATTCTTTGAAGAATGACCAAATGGATTCTAGCGGGCGAATAAAAAGGATGTCAGTATCCACGTACAATAGTGAATCAACATCAGTGAGAACATCCTGGAATAAAGAGGAAATATTTCTTAAAATATGCAGTACAATACATTTAACATTTGCATCCTACCAGTACACATTAACCAGAAAACGTCTACAGCCCTGCTTAGACTATCAAAATTTATTTGACAAAAACATGTCAAATGCTTATATGGTGATGATGACATCACATCATGACTATATATGGGCATAAAACAGTTTTTTGTTAAAGAAAATTTGATAATCTGGACAGAAATTTATAAAAACTCTGGGTCACTATTAATTTGTTTGGTTTTTATGGTGGGTTACAACTACTGTAGAGTATTGGTTACTATGGAGTACCTCTACTTTATGGAACAAACTACCTACAGTAGATCTTGTTTCCCCAAGCCTACAGTAAGAAGGCATTCAGACATGCCATAAAACAAACTTTTAATTTCTCCTAGTCTTTAATTTTCCCTTTGTTTGGAGTCTTTCTTGACTAAAGGTTTGCAATGCCTGTCATTGCTATTGAAGAACTTTTCTGAGCATTAAAAAAAAAAAAAAAAAAAAAAAAACCTTGGGACATATTGGAAAATACCGCATATGCTTCTTGGGTTGATAACTTTACAAATAAGATTTTTCATTTTTCATTATTCAAAACAAATCAAATAGGCTAGACCACGGGTGGGCATTAAAATTGGTCAGAGGACCAAACTTTTGGTTCAACTCAAGGGCCACTCCCAAACTTTGATGTTTCACTGGACTTCCGAAAAACTTCATACACTGTTTTATGGCCACTTTATGCTCAATTTTACTAATACTTGCCAGGCCACAAAAAAAACAAGGTGTTTTCTAGCCAAAGATGGTTGGCAGGCCGCACACATAGGTTTTTAATTAATTTTCGCGGGCCACAAAAAAATCACAGGCTGACTGCACTTTTCCCACCTATGGGCTAGACTAAGGGTCAACAATCAATCAATCATCAGGCTGTTTCACCCACTGCTGTGCAAAGCCCTCTCTCAGCACTTTCCATTATTTTCTGTCCGCAACACTTGCTCAGTTTATTGTTTCTATGTATGTGGTGATATCATCTTTCCACCTTTTTTGTCTATTTTTTTTTTCGGACAGTAAGGGTTTTAAATAGGCATAGGCCTACAGTAGTTACAATACTGTATATTTAAGCAGCATTCTTACAGGTAGAAACAGTCTCTGTGTTGCACAGGTTTTGAATACTTTCTTCCATTCCTCTGGATTCTCACCCTCTGGAAACTGAATTGAGTGAAGAGTAAATTCCATCTTTGCTTGGAAGGCAGCAGGCCAAGTCGTTAGCTGAAATTAATAATTACAGTATTATAAAAAATAATACTCAAACATAATAAGATTAATAAAATATAAATTAATTCTTTCCAAACTGATTTTAGAAAATTATCAATTTGAAGTGAGCATTTAATTAAATAGATGAAAAAAGTTGAAAATTACATACAATATAAATGCAAGAAATTTTAAAGAAATACCAACTTCACATAAATATAATCTTGGCCTTTTTTAAAATTTGTTGTTTTAGGTCCAAGGCCAAGGATGCCAAACAGCAAAATCAATCACTTTTCCAAGTGATAAATCTCTTTACAAGACAACCATACCTATTATTAGGTTGAGACAGTGAAGTTGTTTTTGTTCCTAACAAAAAATTCTGTTACCATGACAGGAATAGACCTTTCTGCTATGCCCCACCCATGAATATTTTTTCTAAGGTCCCACTATATAAAAACATATGCAAACATGCGTTTTTGGGATAACACATGTGTTTGTGAGACATGCGGGTATTCCTGGTCCTGTTCTGATTGGTCAGTTGTTAAGTTTGATTGACACTCAGGAAAGTTCCATTGAACCCCAGACCCTGGGAATTAAAAGCAAGCATCCTAACTCCATTCCTTTAACTACAAAACAACCAATAGTTAGTGTAATATCAAACTGATGCATTGTCAACATTTTGAGTGAAAAAGTGCATACTTTATAAATATATGGTTTATTTTGTGTGATCACAAATTGGCTCAATTTTTTCAGCTAATTATTAATTTTAAAACATTAAAATTTCAGTTGTCTGACATTTTCTAAACATGAGTAAGTTAAATTATAGTGAGGTTTCAGGGGTTTTCAAATGTCACGAGTTTAAAAAAATCAAAAATATTACTATATAATCAGTAAAATTAGCAGTCTTGCATGTTTAAAACAAAAATTTAATTACAGGTATTATTAAAAAATCCATTAAATGAGTTTTTTTTAGTATATTTTAATTAATTTTTTAGAACTGCATGAATGAGATTAAGAATGACCAGGGCAATTTTTCCCAAAAAACAGAAAAATATGGTCACAACAAGCACACGTAAAAAGAATTATTGGCAAAACTACTCAACACTGGTTTATCAATACATCATCGCAGATGTTCACAGCTCAGGCCAATTGTATTTTCAAAATACTGTAAGCAGATGAACATGAGCTTTTAAAATCATGAACTCATCGAACACTATAATAATGACACAACACGATCATTCTTTATGGTGATTTTTATAGGCAGTGGCAACTATGACAACAGTCTTAAGTCAATTCCTAATTCTGATGGATGTTAACTGTCCTAATCAAATTCAACATGCAATCCAAATTAGGAACTGATTTAAGACTAGTGTAACAATATCCACTGCCATTATGCATACAATTGCAAATTAATACTATGTTAATTTACCATTTTTGCTAGTCCTGGCTTCAAATCTTCTTCTGCAAATATATGGAAATAAAGTTTCTGTTGTGTATTAATGATAGCAGTTTTCAACATAACAAGTGTCTCCTCCGACCTATCACCACAACACACAACAGCAAGGTGGATTCTAAAGGAAAGCAAAGCAAACAAATTTTACATTATGAAGTCAAAGTAAAAGTCAATGTAACTTTATTGTCAATAATACAAGGTCAAATTAAAATTTGATTTCCTTCATTACAAAAATGGAAGGCACACAAAAAGGTAAAAAACAAGTACACATTTTTTTTCGTTGAAGCGGAGGAGCCAAAGGCTTGACCATGCCACTAATATTCAAATTGTAAGTCCCTGTAACTCTTCACAATACTGGTTTTAATAATTCTATAGATTTTGGTGTTGACCGCTAACAGTTTTGCTGTTGATAAAACTGCCTCACAAGGATGAAACTTTGAGGCACTCCGCTTACAACGCTCTTCCAACTCTTTGTCATCTACCAAAAACAAAAGCTTTTTTTAACCATGTATGCCTTTCACACACAATTTGTGTAATTTAAAAAGATGGCTCTGGTGGGGGACACTTATGAATGCTTTGGAAAAATCCAAATAGATGGCATCTGTACCACTTAATTTTTCGTTGTATGCTCTAACCAAGTCAGCCAGACTTTCAAGAAGCTGAGTAATGCACTTGTCAATTGTAGTCCTTGTCCCCCGCTCCCCCCTCCCCGGAACCAGGCCTAGCGGGGAATTATCCGGGGATGTAATCACCTACCGACAGGAAATATTTTGTAGTTCCGGTAAAATAGCCTACTTGAAGGTTTAGCCTGTCTGAATTGGAGAAGCATGTGAGAGCTAGCTCAAGGAGATGAGCTTGCTTGATGGGAGCACTATGCATGCATATCACTAGGCAGGTTTCCATGGAAGTTTGGAAAAGTTACCAAAACACACAGCAATTGCTGAATGCATATGTAGGCTAAGTAAGACCAGACCCAGTCTGACAGCACTTCACCCAAAACCCGGCTACTCTAACATGTAAAATAGCCAGCCCTGCGTACATTCCCGGCAATCAATCGTTCCAGAACTTTTACTACCTGACTTGTCAGAGACATAGGACGGTAATTATTACATGAAGATCTATGCTACAGTAGATCCTTTTTTATATTGTATATTGGTGAAATGTTCACATCCTTCCAACTCTGAGGTATTTTGCCCGAAGAAATATACATTCTGTACCTGTGTGAATGAGTAACAGTAAATACAATATTGTTCAAAGATGAAATATAAACACTCACTTGTGATCATCAATTCTCTTTTTTTTATTACCAACACCTGCTGTCATTTTCTTAACAACTTTTTCTCCTTCATTTACAAGGTTAGCTTTGGGAGGACGATCGCCATCTCCAAGGGGGGCTGGTACTCTAAGTTGCTGAGGATGAATCTTGTCATTTCGGTTTTCCACATGCAGGGCATGAATTGGTTGTGGCTCCAATATTATTGGGTCTGGAAATTTTTTCCAGGGTATATCATGCCCTGGGTAAACATCGTTTGCAGGAATTTTGTTGTTAGCATTTTGCTCTACGTGTCTGGTATTCTTATCAACCTGATCTGCCCTTTCTAAATTAATTTTAGGTTTGTTTTGAACATTATGCTCATAAATATGATCTTGCTCCTCCTGTCGGAGATGCTCTCGATTTGCGACCAAATCCGCAGGTAGGCCTAGGCCTAGTGGTAATCCTGCCTTTCCATGGTCATCCCACAAAGGTGTGTCATCTCGATGGACACCCTTTCCTCCAATGTAAAGCCCATAAAATCCTGCTAGTATGAATAAACCAAATGTACTTATGATGAGTCCAGTTCTACAACGTCTTCGACAACCTCTTGTTCGATAGATATAGAACATGAAGGATATGTGGAGAGAAACAACGGTCCACATTCGTACATTAAATCTAGAAAAATATGAATCTACTAACTACACGTCGTGTACTCCAGTGTATACCTAGTCTCTTATTTTTTATTGTTTTTCTTATTCTGGACAGCGCCACCAACGAGAAAGTTAATTTAGAGACGGAATCCTAAAAAGGTAAGCGTTATATGGGCATGCGCACCAGTTCCGTCAGGTCATGAATAATTAATGATGATAACGCTTACCTCCTCAAAAAAGAAATCGAGTATGGGACGCCAGTTAAAATAGGTATGGCGCGCACTAAGTGCAATAAAGTGTGAATAACAAAAAATTAGGGCCTGGAACCCAGGCTACACTATACCGTATAATGTACTCTATTTTGGTATGTCCAAGAAGTTCAGTAAACTCTGAACTTTAGATAATTGACAGTGTTGTTACGTTTGTGTATATTTTTGCCGACATAGGCCTAGGCCTATGCCACTTACTAAATAAAATAATAAGATTTATACTAAAATAATTATATATTTAATATAGCGATAACTAGGCCTATACATATATATGATTTATATCTGTCTCTTATACACATCTAGATGTGTATAAGAGACAGGATTTATATTTGAACTATAAACTTTGGTTAAAAAAGAAAGATTGGGCGTATTCGACTGGTTCGTTTCGTTGACAAAAAATTTTTGTTGAGTATTATTTTCATTCGACTGGTTCGTAAAATAGACTTCGTTGACAACGAAAATTAACGTAAACCGTGCGTTAATCTGCGTTAAGTTATCCACGTGACCAAAACAAACATGGCCGATTGGTAGGTTTAGAAACAACATTTAGGTTAATATAAATTAGATTAAATTTCAGAAAATAAAAATTATAATATTTACCTACCATGAAGTCAAAAAATAATTGTAGCCTAAAAAAATTCAAAAACTGGATGAAAACATTTCTTTTACAAAAAATCTCTACTGCCACAAGCCGAAGCAATCTTGATTATCGTGGCCGGACGTTTCACCGACATCATTTGGCCGACAGACATTTAATCTACAGACTATCGACCGAAATACCATTATACCAGTTTGCCAACAGGACGATTCGCCGACAGACAATTTGCAGACAGAAAATTCGCCGACATTTTTTGTGAACATGTTAATGGATGGATGTGCCACCAGGTGGTATTTAGATGATTAATTTTCGTGGCCTGACGTTTCACCGACAGAAATTTGGCATATAGACCATCGACCGACTCAAATAGCATTCGCCGACACGAGATATTGCCTACACCATATTTCGCCGAATGCCAGTTTGCCGACAGGGCGTTTCGCCGAAAGCCAATTTGCCGACCAGACAATTTCCCGACAGCGAATTCGCCGACTTTTTTTTTAACATGATGGATGGATGTATCACATAGTTGCATACAGTATTTAGATGATTCACCGACAGACATTTGGCCTACAGACTATTGACTTTGACTGAAATACCATTCGCCGACACGAGATTTTCCCGACACAACGTTTCGCCGAATGTCAGTTTACCGACAGGATTCGCCGACTTTTTTGCGAACATGTCAATGGATGGATGTGTCACAAGTAGCATATTTAGATGATTTATTTTCGGTTATGTGTCCAAAACCTTTATAGTACCGAATAATGTGCACAGCTTACGGATATCAAATGTTAAATTATATTTTGAGCATTGAATTTGAAACTTCCGTATGATAGAGCTAAAAGTTCATAATAACAAGAATTACTAGGCCACTGTTTAAATCGTGAAAGAATTATTGTATTCTGGTACGGTAACGTATTACCATTCTTTATAATAATGGAAAGGCCGTAATAATCCGGGGCGGATGCAGGGGCTGCAACGATGCAATCGCACCCACCCCCTCCAAATTGTGTTAAGAAACATTTTTTCTAGTGTACTTTTGACATGTTCATAGTACCTGTACACTTTTGAGGTATGGGGAGTGCAATTTCCGGGCATACAGAGGTCAATATTCTCAAAATGTTCGCACCTCAGCCCATCCATGGTGGGCCTGAGGTCGTGAGGACTCTCACACACCCCCTACCACCAAATCCTGCATTCGCCCCAGCTGATAAAATTCTACTGTTAAAGCAATGTTTAACTACTACCGTATTACTTGGAGGCCTACATACGTTAATACCGTGAAACCTCTTATTTTTTGCGAACTTTTGATGGGCTTCTTTTTTCGATATGGGCTTTTTCTCGAGGCTACTTTTGTAGCGTGCTACTTTAAGTAACGAGGTGGGTGGGGGAGGGGAGGGTTCTTTTCAAAACGAATGCTGTAAATTTTGTGAATTCGTACTATGAAACAATAAATATAACATCAATCTGTATCATGGAGTGTATTTAACTGGCATTAAATCACCAAAACTACTGTATAAACCAAGCTTGTTTTCAATTTATTTTGTTTTATGAAATTCATGTACAGTGTAGGCCTATGTACTGTCTCGAAAAAAGCCTATGCTATCTTGAAAAGAAGCCCATGCTTTTTCCGAGGCTAATTTTACAAACTAAAGAGGGGGTTTCAATTCAAGACAGGCTTCATCTCGTGATTAAGTTCATTTAACTTCAAATCAAGATTTTACGGTATTTATGAAATCCCATGGTGAGTGATAGATAAAGCATTAATGGTTAATTGATATTTAGTACAAGTATGACCAAGGAACAGTTAAATTACAAGTAATTTAACTGTTCCCTGGTATGACTGAGTGGTATAATAAAATAGTGTGTGTTTCGAACTACAAACACAAAACTGTGATAAACAGAATTGAGGCAGTGACAAGTGAAAAATTTGTGGTTAAATTATAGATACACTCTGGATATATTTTGTACTTAAAGCAATGAAACATGACACACTTTTTTTACAGGAAATTTTAGTTTTTAATATGCATGTAAATTTTCCAAGTCTTCTCAGAAATAAATCGGTAAATAGTTTGATAATCATCTGTATTGTGATCTATTGTGTCTCTTGTAAATAATGTTCGGACCCTGTCAGACAGCCTCTCTGAGCTATCTGACAGAATGTTTCGTCAAAGTACAGCTTTCTGACAGAGGTTTCATCGACAGTGTCCATTTTTAATTGAAATATGCTCGCCAACAGCTAAATCCACATAATATTTATATCGTCTCTGGACAAATTCAACAATAAAATTAATTCTTCCGACAAACTAAATTTGCCTACCTTAGAAGTGTTGGTCAAGACATTTAATTAGTTAAAGTGACATGGATGATTGTGTATGGTATCGGTGGTATAATATAAATACATTAATATTTCGTCTACACCTATCAAATGTATCCCTGGTGTATATAATTCAGTCCAAAGTTGGCCTACCTAAACAGAAATAGTATCCACAAATAAGCGTACTATTATGTTAAACCAGAACTCAGTAACTTTAATTTATTTCGCAATGCTTCGTTTATACATTAAAGATTATTTCAGTGAATTTGGTATTGTATTAAATCATTAAAGCAGGCCTAACTAGACTTTAAAACTTCTGAGCACGTTGAAATATCTATTCCTCTCACAAGTAGGACTGTATAATCCAATTTAAACACTATCATCAATAATTGAAGTATTTCAAACCATTACTGCTTCTATGAAATGATTGATGACTAATCAGATTTATGTAGATAACGACAAACAAAATTAGTGTAATTATAAACTAAATCATAAAATATCATGACTGGTATTAAGACATAGGCCTAATTATTATTGGCCCAATTTTATTTGGGAAAATTATGTACAGATTATAGGCAACGGCACCCAAAAACACAATATTGTCATACAAAGACGGATTTCGGACAAAGTCCTTGCGACGTGCATTCGTATTGCATTTCGTGGGTGACTTGTTCAGAAGGCTAATTTTTCAGATGGCATACTCTGTTGTTAACCTAGCCTTACATTCATTCACTCCTTTTCTTGCATCTCCATAACGGGTTGCATCTCTCTGCTTATCAAGGATACATGCATATCCTTCATAAAGACGTCTGCGACCCATGATGAACGTCCATGATGAACGAATAGACATTATGATAACATTTTCAGGCCGCTCAGTTTTTATGTACCAATGGTTCATGGAAAAACATGCTTTCATCTTGTCGGCGAATTTAGTTGGCAAACTCAGACGTGCAAGCGAACGTTTGAACGCTTCTTGAAATGAAAGAGAGGGAAAAAAATAATTCTAGCACCGCTTCCGTGTGAAACCAAACTACGATGTTCTCACCAGGACCCATCTATGAAAAACAAACCATTTATCATACTTCAATCTTGTCGGCGAACTCAAAATCAGGATTGAGCCACAATATTTTCAACATATCTCCATTTGAAAAAGACACCGATTTGATGTCATCTCACATTTCATGGCTTCCCAAACAGTGAGTCGCGAAAAAGTACATATTTAGGAACAAACAGTGGTGGCACCAGAGGGGGGGGGGGAGGCTATAGCATAGCAGAGACTGATCATTTGATATCCTATGAGTATAATTACACATAGTGTGGCAGACGAGTACGTTCCGTCGGGGAATAAAACAAATTAAAAAAAATATTTTCACATGTCTGTTCGTTTAGCAACCATATCGCCGTCATTGACCTGTTTGTGTACTGTAAAACTTTTCATCACAATAATAACAAAACGACAACAACAACAACAACAACAACAATAATAATAATAATAATGATAATAATAATAATAATAATAATAATAATAATAATAATAATAATAATAATAATAATAATAATAATAATAATATAACATAAATTCACGTGTCGTTTTATTGTAAGTCATCCGACTACCGTATATATTACTTTTCACATTGAATTAAGCCCATGAAACAACAGATATTCTTCTTCACATTACGTTCAAACATCTATTGGAACCTAAGTCAGCATAACAGTGTCAAGTTTCAAAACAGCGCTTTGACACTATTGTTTTTAAATGTCTGTGCACATCAATGTTATGTATTGAAATTTAAAAAAAGCAAATTTCCCTCCCCCCACCCCCCGCCCGTTTGAAAAATTCTGGATCTGCCCCTGTTCAATGGGACTAATTAAAAATAGGTACCTAAAAGGTACATGTGGCTACTGAGCTCATAAAAAGAAATACTGGTGTGGCGCTTTTCATGCCCGTTCCCACGTTACATATTATGATGTGCGTTTGTAAGTTTCGGCCTATAGTACTGTACAGGAAAATAAGTCTGTATTTCTGTATCTACTTTGTATTTATTTACTTTAAGTAGTTTAATTTAATTTTAATTGTTAAGTTATGATAAGAAGAGGCTTTCAAATTTTGTGTTTGTGCTTTTTGTATTTTTTTTAATGCAACTCCTTTTTGTAAATTTGTTGATCTTGAACGCACTGTCAATTGACGAGTGCCACTGTAACAAAAGTGTAAGTTCAATAAATTATTATTATATCTCATATTCCAGTAGTACAGTAGGCCTATCATGGTCCAATGTCATAGTAAATTAACACTTTAATACAAAAAAAAGAAATACTTGTGTATTCATTGTGTTATTTATTCATCTTTTAAACACTGTATACATTTTATTTAAAACAGATTCTTTAGTTACACAAAAGGTAATAATATACTCTTAAGAGCCACAACGCCGGCGCTTTTTTGAGCATTTGCGGCCTTCTCTAGAAAAGATCAGATCAGATTAAAGTAACAAAATCACAAAAAGGGGATAAAAGTTTTAAAAAATTGTGGCATAAAGTGCATTAGCACTGTGTTTGACTATATTTTGGCTAGAGTCAAAGCATGTTCAAGGATGAGTAATAAAATCACAAAAAAAAGACAAAAAGACAAAAAAAAAAAAAAAAACACATACTAAACAATTTTGGTATAAGCCAGTTTAGTGTTTGACGCGCAGATCTCAGGGGCGGATCCAGAGATGTCTAAAAGGCTGGGGGGGGGGGGCGATCGAGATAACACCACCCACCCACGAAATTTTTGTGTTCTAACCTAAGCCTAGACGCTCGAAAATAACATCTGAGGCGTTTTGGGTGCATTTTTTTCTTTTACTTTCTTCTTTTTTTCTTTTTTTTTTTTACCTTCCAAAAAGGGGGAGGGGAAGATTTGGCCTGCCGCCCCACGCCCAAATTTCATCCCCTGGATTTACACGAAGGGCAGTGAGGCAATCGATGAACGATGAGAGTGCCCGCCGATAAAATGCACTAGACTCCAAATCCAGGTGTCAGCCAGTTTGGTATACTTTCTGTTACATCGTATACAATTTTTGTTGTAGTAGTAGGCCTAGAAGATTTTGGTAAGTTTCGAAAAAAAAAAAAAAAAATAATAATAATAATCATACTGTACTTACGCAAACTTTGGCGAGTGTGCTTTGCAACCCGTAGGTCTTTATTTAGGCCCTAGGCCTAATTATAATAGGCCTATTAGTATTATTATTTAATATAGCCAACTACTAGGCCCTAGCCTAGGCCTACCCTAGCTAGGCGAGGCGGGTGTCGGTCAATCCGTACCCAAACAAACCCGTACCCAAACAAACCCGTACCCATACCAACCCGTACCCAAATTTTGATCAATCCGTACCCACGTTTAGTCAACCCGTACAAACGTCATTTTGGTCAACCCGTACCCAAAAGATATATGTATCTGTACGATCTCGTTCGGTCTGTAAGATTGTCGTTGCCTCTAATATTAAGGTAAGTTTTCTTTTCCTCAGGGCCTAATATGTATATATACATATACATATTTTAATTTTCGCTGGTTTTAATATTTCNTATTATTCACCATTACAATTGAACAATTGATATTTATTTAATTACTAGACCCTACATTGTAAAACATTGTGAAAACAAATAACGACACCACGAATGGAGCCATAATATGTAGCGCCCCCAACTTGTGTGTTCGGCTTCTTCGGCGATCATAAATTTCTTGATTGAGTGCATCCTATCGAAGATATTAGAATACATCTTCTAATCGGTAAGTTAGGCGTTCATAATACATGATATGATTAATATCTAAATAATAGACAATATAATTTGCGTAATGTTCTATATAGTAAATAATATTTTTCATCAAACTTGGGTACGGTTTGACCAACGATAGGTACGGTTTGATCAAAGATGGGTACGGATTGACTAAAATTCTGGGTACGGGTTGACCAAAATTTGGGTACGGTTTGTGGGTACGGGTTGGCATGGGTACGGTTTGACTGTAAGCCAGGCTAGGCCCCTCCTTCCTGTCTGCTTCGCCTAAACATAATTGTTGAAAACGTTTCTTTTCTCAAATTATACTGTTAGTTAAATAATTTCTTTAGTTAATTTCTATACAATGAGTGATTTTGACTGCCTTATGAATATATAATAATATATTCGAACTGACTATTTTTACGACGAGTCATGAAGACTGCTAGCTCCTAATGCTATTCTTACAACGATCGCTAGCGCATGCGCGATAGCGTCCCTCGTCGCTTGGGGAGGGGGAAATAAACAGTTTTGAACTGAGCGAACCGCGACGCTAATTCTAGCCTAGGCCTATTTCTAGGCCCAGAGAAAGGCCTCACAGGCTTGGTAGATGCCAGCTAGCAGCGGGGTTGCAATGAATAGGGTACATATTGTTTGTAGGCCTACATTCATACTTATTTATCAAAGCTCCCTGGTCTGGGGTGACAGTATAAAAAATGAATTTCAATTTTGTAAAACAAAAATTAAACATGAAAAATTAACTAATGTGTAACAGGGGTGGCACCAGCGGGGTGACCGGGGAGCCCATAGGGACCCCCCCGTCGGGGAGAGCTGGACCCCCCATCGGGGAGAAAAAGCACAATTCGTTGGGGAGAAAAAAATATTATATGTATTTTGTACATATTAGTAGACTCTAAAATCGATTAAATAAGCCTTTGAAACCCCTAAATTGTCAAATTTTCGAGGGCTTCGCCCCCAGGACCACTTTCGGGACCTTTTCATCGAAGCTTGACCACGCCCACTTTGCTTTCGTCGGGGAAAGCTGACACCTCATCGGAGAACCGCCCCCCCTCCCCCGTCGGGAAAATCCTGGCACCACCCCTGATGCATAGCCTAGGGCCTGTTTAGCCCCAAACTATATATAGGCCTCTCCTAAGAGCTCAGAAGCCTACAAAATTGTTTTCATGTTCAATTTTGTGAACGCGAATCCCCACTCACACATTTGGTTTTAACTTAGTTGTTAAACCAGGTTAAAATAAAAAATAAATAAATAGTATGTAGTGTGTTCTGTATTGAAAACAATGTGCTATCTTGCAGTCCCAGAAGTGAAGTGTGAGGACGTGTACAGTACATTTTTTTTATATGTACAGTAGTAACTTTTCAATATATGAATGCCAATGTGTTTTGTTACGATATTGAATTAATTTGTTCAATCAACTATGCATTTATATCTGATTTTTGTAAAATATATGCAATAAGAGTATAATACATACACAAGTATGGAAGTACACGCCATCGTGTCGGGATTCAATATTTTGACAATAATTAATATGTATGAATTAGGTAAACGCACGCACGTCATCTTCACTACCATTACATGCACTTAAAAATAACCAGTCATCTATGTTCAGCATCCATCCCTGTAGAAGTGCACCCATATTCCTGACTGGCGTGCAAAAATGTGTCTGCTTCACCCTCAAGAGTACCGTGGAAACTTGTTTGTGGGAAGATAACGATTCTTTCTGATATTTTTATAGTAATGGTCCAAGCAACTAGTACAGGTAATAGACCTCATCAGAGTGAATTTCTCTGGATTATTAAGTAAAGGAGAGTTTTGATGACATATGTAACAAATCTGTACTTAAGAAATTAGACATCATTATTAAAGATCTTTCCCACCCCTTGCATCATGAATACACATCTAACAGATCTGGCCGCATACGCCCTAAAAAATGCGATACTAATAGATTAAGAAATTCATTCACTCAAAAGTTTATATTTATAATGCTAACTTTGACCGATGATTTCCCATTGCAATACCTTGTGCTATAATTATGCGTGTGCTGTTCTCCAATTTGTGGTCTTTTGTACCTATTTTCTCTATGTTTGTACTAACCTCTGTATTAATTTTTGTATTAATATTTATATTCATTATGTGTATAAGCATCAGGAAAAAGAATTTTACTTGTGAATTTTTTCAATAAGTAAAAGTATCTAGTATCTTGTAGGAAGCCCGAAACGGCCATTAACATCACGTTAATAAACATGTGTGTATTTATTGGTGTATTTTAAACATTAATCAGAATGTGTACCAAAATGGAAATAAAAAAGATCTAGGAAGTAGAAAACTTGTTTTGCAGTGAGATTCACCTCAAGAGTACTGTGGAACCTTTGGGGAATGTTAGTCCATCTTCCTTTATCACAGGGGCGGCGCTAGCAGGGGTCCCAGAGGGGTAAATGACCCCCCGTCGGGGACACTTAGCCCTGTCTCTTATACACATCTAGCACTTAGCCCCCCCCCCCCTGTCCGGGAATTTCCAGCATTGTCGTTGGGGGAAAATCAAATCTCGAGCGCCGAAATTACAATTTAATGCCTTACTAAGCTGTCAAATTGTAGGGATTAAAAACTGTTTTTAATCCCTACAATAATAATTGTGCGAGGTATTTTATACTATTACGATCGTATGGGTTGCAGTGGTGGTGCCAGCTCTTCCACAACTGGGGGTTTGGTACCTTTGACAGAATAGAAATCCCATAATTAACACAAAATGTTATTTTTTAAATTAAAAAAAAAATTCTCCGACAAATTTTATCAGGGACCCCTCGTCGGGGAATTCCTGGCGCCGCCCTGCTTCGTCATATCACAGTATATTTTATTTTTATTTATACATAGGCCTATATGTATTATTATAAACATGATCAGAACATTTATGGTAAATGGAAAGGTAGCAAACAAGAAAACAATCTTATGCAAAACAAATGACATGCTAATTTCATAAATCTCCATTTTATTAAGCATTTTAAACATGGTCAAATAATCGGGAAACGCAACAAACGATGACAATACGTGTCTCAAACCAATCGACTTACATTTTCGTTGTTTCTGTAAAAGAGAAAAATAACACCAATTAATAACCGTAATATTAGTAATCAAATAAAAATAATTGGTAATACAATTTTTATGAATACCCGCTATTGAGTGGGGATTCCAGGGGGATTTCCGTTCACAAAATTGAACATTGAACAAAACAGTTTTGTAGGCTTCTGAGCCCTTATAGGAGAGGCCTAGTTTGGAGCTAAATAGGCCCTAGGCCTAGGTGATACATTAATTAATTTTTCATGTTTAATTTTTATTTTACAAAATTGAAATTAATTTTTTATACTGCCACCCCAGACCAGGGAGCTGTGATAAACAAGTATGAATGTAGGCCTACAAATGTACCCTATTCCTAGGAACCCCACTGCATAGGCTGGCATCTACCAAGCCTGTGTGGCCTTTCTCTGGGCCTAGAAATAGGCCTAGGCTAGAATTAGCCTCGCGGTTCGCTCAGTTCAAGACATGTTTATTTCCCCCCGCGACAAGGGATGCTATTGCGCATGTGCTAGCGATCGTCGTAAGAATAGCATTTGGAGTTATCTTCACGACTCGTCATAAAAATAGTCACAGCGTAATATATTTGCTTTATTTTCATTATCACATCGTTCAGTACCTATTTTAATTTATTTTATACTGTATATTGTAAAAAATTAAACATTTGGTAATGTAAATGGAGACGCAACAAACAAAAAACAAAACAAACTTAAATTAACTATAAGCCTACTTGTTTTATAAATCTAAATTTTATTGAAGCATTTATAAACATGATCCAAATATATATCGTATGAAAACGATAAAACCAATTGACTTTTAATATTTGCGTTGTTTCTGTAAAAAAAATATAACACCATTTGATTCTGTAATAAACTCTTTAAAATAATAATAATAATATCCAAGAGAGGAGGCAGTCTCATGAGTAAACTCAATGCCTCCTGTTTCACTTTAACGTACTGTTAAGTCACTTTAAGGTAATATTAATAATAATAATAATAATAATAAAGTACTACTAAAAATAATTAATAACTGGTAATGTTAATAACTGGTAATGTTGCAGTAATGTAGCCGAAACAACTCGGGTCGAAACGACCTAGGGCCGAATCGACTCAGGGCCGAAACGACCGTACACCTTCCCAGTCCAACTGAAAATGTCCACTTACTGTATAGTAAGGCCTACGCGGGGAATATATATTTATTTATTTTGGAAAGTAATGGCCAATTTCCTCACAGATTTTGTCGAAAATTAGGCTTTCACCAAATCTTAATAATATGCAATGCAATTATGATGCCGCACACCTATTTTCCTAGTGATTTTCAATGCAAATTTGAGCTGATTTTTTAGATATCTTCCGCACAATTAATAAACTTTACAGTATGGCCCCATACCTACCAAGTCTCACGTATCCGGCGTGAACCTCACGCTTTTCGACCGAACATTAAGCTCTCAAGTCACTTACCTAAATTCTCATGCATTTCCACTAATCTCAAGCTTTATTTTAGAACTTGCTTATAATGCTATTTTGATGGACATTCGTTGAAGATATATAAACATTTCAAAATTCGAGAGAAAATAAAATCACTCTAAAAATTGTGCGATGATTTCATAACTAGGCTAGGCTACGGCCTAGGTAGTAGGAGAAGCCTCGGCAGCCTCCTGCCTGGCCGTAGCCCTAGGCCTACATCTAAATTTTTGTTCCTCGAGTCTTTAAAATAGGTCTAGAATATTCCTATTAAACGTACAGTTTGCTTAGTTTGAGTGAGGGTCCATTGATTCAATGAATTCCTTAATTGTTCAAACTTAATATTAAATTTGAAACTTCTTTCGGGTTCTAATTAAGGTTGTTTTAAGAAAGTAATTTTCAATTTTCATCGCAGTGTGTGATGTCTTCACTGGTGAAAAAAAAATGAGGTATTTTTTTTGCACACAAACCTAAAAAAAATCAAGCCAAGTGTCCACTAGTGGACTGTGGGGTATAGGCAAATAACATTAGGAGTTGCCGTGATGACGTCACGAGTGACTTATAATATTAATTATAAAGATTAATGAAATAATAGCTAGTCGGAGTGCTTTTATGGTTATAATTATGTATACTATAATAAGCCTGAAGGTAGTGCTTTTCAAGGGCGGCCATCTTAATCCGGGCTTTTAAACCACTAAACTGTCATACCATTGGACCACTTTCGAAATATTTCGAGCGACGCCCGCCAACTTTTTTTGGTCTTATCGGGGAGATCTTCCCTGCGCCCACGTCGCAGAACCCGGGACCCCTCTCCCCCCCCTTTCCTTGCTAATCTCATGGTTCTACCCCTTGTTAAGTACACATACACAACTCTCCATTGCTTCGTCACCTTGTCAGCACTCTAGTAGTTTAATAGCTCTATGTTGTTATCCAAGTAGGAAACTAACACGGATGGCGCTATACATTACATCATTTCTATTTGAGCACTAGAGATCTATTTCAGAGTGCACCAGAGAGCATGTAAGACCAAAATTTACCGTGGCCCTAGGCGGGCCCTCAACCCATGCCAATTGGGTTTATTTTCTGTTAAATCTCAAGCCACTAGCTACTTCCAACTTGGCATGTATGTGGCCCCCTCACTAGTCATCAACCCTTACTCCACCATTATGCGACTGTAAAGGAAGGACTGCACTATGCAGTAATTACAATTCTAGTTTTTGGGGAATCATCTGTGTAATTAAATTCTTTAAAGTACAGTATAGCCCCCCCCCCATCAGCCCCTTCCCCCATTTAGTAAATTTGGAGGATGTCTTGATACACAGCAGCTATATTTTTTATTTACAGATAATATTGAATACAATGCCGTGTGATGAGAATTGCGTAGTGTTATTCCAAAAGCCACCAGTTTATCAGTCATCGCTATCTCCTGCAACCATTCCCTCAAATCAAGAAATATCAAGTGACAGCCAGAGCTCAAGTGGTTTGCTTGTGAATCCCGAACTTGGATTAGTGGTTACTAGTGCTGTACTCTTTACTCCACAAGTTGACTTACTCGTAAAATCAATTTCACAAGTTGGAGACCATCCAGGAACTATTATTCCACCAAAAAATTTTGAGAGCACTATAATAACAGTTATTTTTCAAAACAAATCACAGTCTGATATAGAAGATGAATTTTTTTCTGTTCCAGGAAAGTTATTGTTATTATGGCGATGTGAGGACTTACATGAAATTATGAGTACATCTTTTTCTGAAAGAGATGGATGGAAGTTTGGAGAAGATGAAAATGTTGACGATTTAAAGGAGAAATCTCAAAAGATGGTTATAGAACCAATGACTCTGAAATCAGATGATGAAGTGAAGGAGAACTTGATTTATTGGTTTGCAATGATTAAATTAGAACATAGTGAACAAATAAGAAGGTATAATAAAAGTGGTTTTTTTAAAAACCATATTTATAGAGTGTGACCCTTCCAGTGTATCCTAGAAGGTCAGCTGATATATTTAATAAATGAAATTACGTGATGCTTTAATCACCAAAGTGTCTTTATGAGGCTTAGGGAGTGGAGTTTAGTCATGAGAGAAAGTCCTGCTGTCACAGATTGAATCCAGGACCCTGGGATTGGAAAGCAAGCATTTTAACCTCTAAGCTATGCAACTCCACTTCACTTGTTAAAGAGAGATTAACAGATCTAATAGAAAGACAAAATTCTACTTTTAATTGTAATTAAGAAACAAAATCAAAGGATAAATCTTTAAACCAGAAGGACTTGTTTCAGCAGGGGTGCTTTTAAAAAAGGGGTTCTTCTTAACAATCTGTCAACTCTTTCAGATTGAAGAATGGTATAATCGGTGTGGTTTTATCCCAGTGACACGCACCACCGGCTTTAAGTCTGAAGCAATTAGCTGAGAGCAGCTAGCTCAGTCGGCTAAACTCGTGGTAGCCACTGTGTGCGAGGTCCGGAACCGTGGCGATCTCTTGATTCCCAGTTCAATTCCCATCGCTGCTCTCCGTGTGTTTCAGCTGGAGGGCCGAAATGCAAGTTTCAAAATGCACCATCTTTCGGATGAGATGTTTAAGCCGTTGGTCCTGTGTGCAAAATGGCCCATGTATGATAAGAGTAGGGGATTGTCTCACGGTGTACTGCCCAATTTGCCAACAGAAGGACCCCGCTAGAAATTAGTCTCGGAACTTTTCGTAGGTTATCCTTGGTGTGAATCTCACCCAAGAAATACTTAATAATAATAAGGGTAGACTTATATAGTGCATATTGTTAAGCCCCCTATTGAGACCCCAACCTTGAGGGAAACCAAACTGTTCCCGCCTCGGCAAACCACTTCTACAAAATACAATCCGAAGAACGTGGCATATTGCCGAAAAAAGACTCCGATTCAAGCTTGTCTTATGATGCTAATAGGTTTTAAAAAAAACAAACAAGAAAACCATATAGAGTTTTATAAAACTGACATATGTTTTATCAATACAACAAGTAATATAAAAATGTTTGATGATAATTATGTCAGTTTTACTTTTGAACAATATAACGTTTAATAATAACGATTGAATTAGGAATATTTATATTATGACAACCTTACTTTGTCATTATATTAAGTCATTGGTGTCATACACCCTCTATAGTGTTGTCAGCTTTCAGGTGTGTATAAGAGACAGCTCTTGACTTCAATAATTTGTCAAAGGTGTTAAAGAATTTGTATCCATTTTTTGTCTCTATTGATTGTGTTTTTTATCTTTTTCATCTAAATTAAATCTTTGATTTAATTAGTGTGATACTTTTTCCACAATTTTAACCTTATCAATGTTTGGTATGTGGTTTTTCTCACTGGTCTGTGACATACAAATCTCAGAACCTCGGACCTGATGACAACGTAAGGTTGTAATAATATGATCAAGGCTAGTCGAAGTACTGTAGCAACTGAAATGATCAGGTACTAAAAATTTGGCTTATCTCCAAGAATCGTTCAAACTAAATGATTGTTTACAGTATGCCAAACAAAATTTTTACAAGAATAATATAATAATGGTTTGTTTTTGTTATCAGCATTGGAAACCAGAGGCTTGAACTGTATCCCTCAGTGAATCTGCGGCAAGGTGAGATGTTGCTTGCGTGCGGGACCCCATTTGGTGCTCTATGCCCACCTGTTTTCATGAACAGTATGAGCACAGGAATTGTGACAAATTTAGCGGGCAAGAACAATGCACTTATAATGACTGATGCAAGGGTGATGCCTGGATCAGAAGGAGCAGGGCTCTATGTTCTTCCACATGGTAATTTTAAACAAAGGTTTGTTTTGAACATCATTTTGTAAGTAGAAATGATGAATTTGGATAATTCGTCGCTCACATCACGAACTAACACAATTAAATTCAATTGTGTTAGTTCGTGAAATCAAAAAAGCGCGTCAAAATACGCGCTGTTGTCGTTGAGGACTTTTGTGTGGTAAAGAATACAAAATTGCTTGACAACCAATACGCGCTCGTTTTGACGCGCTACTGTGATTTCACAAACTAACACAATCTACTTTGATTGTGTTAGTTCGTGATGTGAGCGACGAATTGTTAATATAGTTTGCAAATAACATGATCCCAATTGCTGTTGTAGGACCTGCAGACCTGGTGTGTAGATTATGTCGTTACTGAGTTGAGTCATATTTATTGCATGAATCTCATGATTTGTTAGTTAAAACAAACTAGTTTGTCCTTAAAAAAGTCATTATATTTTATAATTCTTTGGAAATTTTAAGCAACCTACTGTTCTGTTAATATAGTACTGTACAACACAAGTTATAAGACTATACAGTGGTAAATGACTGTAAATAATAATGTTCTAATCCAGTAGAATTATTTTTTCTAACCCGGTTGGGATCAATAATTCTTAATGATCATGCAATAACACATTTGATGATAATTTTGTAATGTTGTAGTTCTACATATAGAGTGAAGTAAAGGTGCGTTTGTCTGAGTATGTATACATATCCTTTTCACACCAAAAAAAAATAATCGCTACTCAAATAAATTCCCCCCTCAAAAACCTTAGTCAACAATAAATTCCCCTGGGTGTTTATTTAAATACATATGTTAACTGTTACTTAACATATGTATTCAAATAAACACCCAGGGGCATAATAAATAACTATTATTTAATCTTAAAATTGATAATAATATTAATAATTATTATTATTAAATAATATTAATTAATAATAATATTATTTATTTAGTTATTTAATAACTATTACTTATTTTACAGGAAGCTGGTCGGTATGATCGTGAGTCCGCTTTGTTGGAAGGTTAATGAGTGGATTGGGCTGACTCTTGCTGTGTCTATTTCTACTCTCTTAGACTCATTACAGAAGCTAAATCCCTTGCAGTCACAAGGTAGTATGCTGCCATCTATTGTTAATAATGGATACAAAGGTATGCCTTTCATTGCATGATAATACAGTAGATAGATGTAGAATACAGTGTGCAAGTTAATTTTATTCAGAGAGGAACTCTATTTAGATAATGCTTTAATGTGTTCTATGAGACCATAAACTAATCTGTATTATTTATTGCTTTCCATTATTAAGACACAAGACCAATAAACTGTAGCATCAAGTCAACTAAACTACAAAAGCACAAAAAACAATCTATGTGGTGTACCGCAAGCATTAATATATACAAAACAATAACATTATAATAAATCATTTTTTATAATCCTATTTTACAGATTAAAAATTGGCAATTTGGTGTTTCCTTTTATGGCATTAGGCAAATTATTCCAAAGTGAAGTTGCATTATAAAAAATGTATTATAATGGGAATTGTAAGAAGGTATGACAAAAATTACCCACTGGTAATTATAAGAATGCAAAACTTTATCAAACTGACCAATTAAATAAATACTGTAGATTACTGTACTATTAATATAGTACAGTATATATACTATGAAGAGTTAAATTTAGTAAGCTGCTTATAGCCCTTCCCTCTATCTAGTGAATATAATTACTTAAAATTAGCATCAGTTAAATGAAATTTTTTTAAAAATTAGAGATAAAACGAATAACTTTATTTGAACATGATGTAATTTTGACTCTGACCTATTTTAGTGATTATATCAGTTATGATCTAAACAAAGATGCGTCTCATTTCGTTGGGAGACCTCCCATGCATTTTATTTAGGTTGTTCCTCTTGGATTTTTAGGATAAATAAATGTACATCTATGGAGAAAGGTTAGAATGTACATTGTAAAAATTGTTGATTGAAAGTAAAGAATGGAAGTAAATAGTAATTATATTGAGGTTTAATTCATACTTGCCTGGTGTTGAGCAATTTTACCCCTACCCATGACTACATGTTCGCTTTATATTTTTGTTTTTGTTTTTTTGTGTATATTGTAAAAAGTCCGGAAATCAATGAGATTTTATTTATCTGTAACAAGATGGTGTAGCACTGATTTGTGATTGTGTGGTCTATAGCCTCTTTGGTGTCCAGATGTTCTTGTGACTGTTCATTGGGACTGTTAAATATGTTAACATAAGATTGTGTGACTATCATCTGACCACTCAGGCCTCGGTGTACTGTAAGAATGTCCCCGGAAAAAATGGCCCAGGAAAAAATGGCCCCGGTAAAAATGGCCCTGGTAAAAATGTCCCCTAATGACAGGTAGGTAAAAATGGCCCCCAATAATAGAATTCTGTATTAAAACTGATTTTTTTTTTAATCATTATATTCATTTTTTTTAACTGAAATAATTTAGTTTTTAAAAGGAATCTAACATCAAATAAAATGCCATTTATATTTTACTTTTTGCAGGAATTACATATTCAAAGATAAAATATTCAAAGATAAAAAAAGCCATGAATAACACTTTTTATTTTTTTTCCATTTAAATGTTAAAAAATAGCTACAACATAATCAATAAATCATCATAAATCATGCATTTATTAATTTAAAAAAATAATTAATTTGTGGCCAAATTCACGGAAACGGAATCATAATTTTCCAGAAATTCGATCCGGGTATTGGTAAACCCCAAAAACAATGGGTTGATATGAACATCAAATTATTATTTTTTTTTTTAAAAAGAGAGTTCTACAATCATAATTAAAGGTTTTGGATGGGGTTCGCAGTGTGTTTTTGGAGGTTTGTGGTGTATTTTGCAAGTATTTTTTCACAAAAAAAAAATCAACATTATAACCAAAAAATAGGTTCTTATGAATGTATTTAACTTTCTTATTGATATACCAAGTAAGTCAATCACAATTGAATTGTTTTTTTTTCTACAGTGTGTTTTTTGGGAGATTTGTGGCCTTTAGCAATACCATTTAATCCTACCATAATTACCCTACCCTCACAATTACACGCCATTAATTCTTAGCATAATTGCCATATTTACATAACTATGTATAGTATATCTCAGTTTACATTATTTAGTATAGTTTTAAAAATAATAAATTGACAACAAAAACAATTATGGCCACTGGTTTCTGAGCCAGTAGTAGGCACTTGGATTTAGTTGGCGGGGAGTAAAAGCCAAGTATGCAATTAAATAAGTTGCTTAAATAAATTTATTCCTAATTATTCAGTTTTACTAAAAACAATAAATTATTTGATTAACAAATGCTTCTTTGAAGTAAGTCAAAGCAGAACATTTATTGCTAAGTTTGTGAGAAAGTAAGCCTCTCCCTTTTCCTATACATGAACTTGTAATTCAAACACACAATTGATCCCAAGCCCGTATTTAGGAATTTCAATGGAGGGGTTCGGCTTGGGACTATACGGAACTCCTTATCAAAACCCACATACTTCTTCTTTTCTCCCCTAAATGTGGACTTTATTCAGTGTAATAGGCCTCAGGCCCTTTTACAGTATAAATAAATATACATTTTTAGTGCTTTAAATAAGGCGAGACTTTTTTATACATTGTTTAGCGAACCCTCCGATTCCGAAATTTTGGATTTCAAAATAAAGATAAAATTTTATTATAAGTGTTAGCGAGCCGCCATGAAAAATTGAAAAAAAAGAAATAAAAATAAAAATTTATATTTATTTTTATTCTGTCCTCCGCTACATGGAATCCCTTTTTCCAAAAATTTAAAGTTGCATACTTTTTAATATAGTAAAAAGATGTACTATGTGATGTAATCACGAGGTATATATTCCTGAAATAAATATAAATATAATTTTATTTTTATTTCTTTTCCGCCTTCCTCTTGAAAGATTTTCCAAAAAAAGTTCGCGAAATAAGGTATAAAAAAGTCTCGCCCAAACTCATTTGATACAAACAAAAGTGAATTTTGTGGTTATCTACGAGTTACATATTTTGGTAGTTGAAGTACTGTATGTATGTCGGTTTGGTGCAGCGTGAAAGGTTTGGTTTCCCAACCTCGAGGTCGGGGTTTCAATTCCTCGCTGTGCATTTCGCTTGTGTCCTTGAGCAAGGCACTTTATCTGCATTGCTTCTCTCCACCCAGGAGTATAAATGGGTACCTGGTGGGGTTGCTTGCTCCTGCGCTGAATACAGCAGCAACACTTAGCATGTGGATCCAATGACCAGGGACAGAAGCGCTTCGTATCTGCAAAGAAAGGCGCTATATAAATAAATATGATTAGATTAGATTAGATTAGATATCATCCCTCAACTTTATTTAGTGGAATAACGTTTTTAAAACTTTTATTTCTACTATCAAAAAATGTTTAATTCAATGGCCATTGTTTTCCAATAATCTCTCAGTACATTATTTGCATCTGTTGTGTAACTGTATTTGTTAAAAAACAAATACTTTTAGAGAAATTAAAAAAAAAATCACAAAAAATTGATCTTATTTTCAAAGCAAAATATAAGTTATTTCATAATTTACAGGGTATTTTACAGCATTTAAAATTTTTTTTTTTTTATTAAATTTTATAATTGGTGGCCATTTTTTATTTATTGATTCAATTCTTGCTATTACAGTATTTAAATATAATTTAAATTAAAAAATTTAATGTAATTAAAAAAAATATCACTTCTATTAATGAATTTTTTCATTGGGGCGATTTTTACCTATTTGTCATTTGGGGCCATTTTTACCGGGCTGCCATTTTTACTAGGGCCATTTTTTCCTGGGCCCTTTTTTACCGGGGCCATTTTTGCCTACATTTCTCGGGTCCCAATTACCACTTTAAAGATAATGATCTATTATTATGTTTGATTGCAGACCTGTTAACTTCTGATGTAAGAAAAGCTATAAACTCTGTTGTGTATGTTCAGGTTGGACCAATTTGGGGTTCAGGGGTCATGGTTGATGGAGTTGAAGGTTATGTAATAACCTGTCGTCATGTTGTGAAGAACAGCAGGACAAGAGGTGGTAAGTGAATTTGCATCTTTCAAATAAGTATTGAATTAGTATTGTTTCATTTTTATGGAATTCAGTATAATTATATTAAGTATATTAAACTTAACTGCCAAATTATGTCAGTTTGTAATGACTTATTGTGATTTAAATAAAATATATAATTTCTTGTTTCTCATACAAACCTTCAGTTATTCTATAAAATGAAATTACAGTTTCTAATTATGAAAATAACTGTGTTTAATCTTCAAAATGTATAAAAAATAATCAAAACAAAGATCCATTGATTAATCTTAAAGTGTGTACTGTACTATCAGTCAAAAAGAGAGAAAAATAATTCAAAATTCAAATAAAATTTTGAATAAGCCATTTGAAAGGATCATGTAAATTATTAATTTCCAACGAGAAACAGATGAACAAATTTAATTTTACAGATTAACAGACATTTCACTACAAAAATTCTTAGATTTATTTAATACAACCAGCAATTAAGGATCAATGCAAAGAATAGAGGAAAGTTAGTATTTAACTGTCCGAAAATTCATGAGAGAATTTTTTTTTAATTCAAAATTTTAATTATAAAGTTAATAACTTACTTAAATATACAAATTAAGCAATTCAAATGTGCAATTAATATTTTCATTTTTTCCCTCATGACTGATAGTACATCTTTAGATGAAAGAGGACAATGCCTAAAAAAGGCCATTATAAATAGATTCTGTGTTTCATCTGTTACAAGAACATACTTTTTGGAGAGTCACTTGATAGTTGATTAGGTTCACTTTTTGACAATCCCTTCTACCTCCAAAATTGTCTGTACATTTTATTGTTATGTTATGTGTCATACATGAAATATATGAAATGAAATGAAATTCTCAGGAATTACTGTAGATCCATCAATGACTAACTAAAAATGAAATGAAATATTAATAATATACCAATGGAACAATCAAGAGAATTCATCATTCTTGGTATAAAATACCAGCAATAAAACAATATTATCATGCAGAAGCTGTGAGTCCATCTTATACCAGCAGAGCTTAACATGTGACCACAACAATATATATATATATATCAAAGATACTAGAAACACAAGATAGAGCACTTGCATAGTAAAAATGAGGCGGAAATCGTGCCTGACGTAGGCGGCGCCCTTATTTTTAACCATGCAAGTTTTCTATACTTTGTGCCAGACGTACAGGGCGCCCTTCTGTTGCTATGTATATCCAGACGCACACGGCGCCCTTCTTTTTCCACTAATGGAGGAAAACTTTATCACTAGAGTGCGTCCGGCCATACGGTTTGGCGTTATATTGTTGTTTTCTATACTGATCCATAGGCTTAATTGTGTGTTTTATTTGGATAATAGCAACGATTTATACCTCCGCCAAGGAATTATGTATTCACCGTTGTCACTGTCTGGGTACAATTGTACTAATTGTACAATTGTGTACAATTTTTTAATTGAGAATTGACAATAAAATATGCGACGACTTGGTAACGAAAGTTTGGTTGAAGTTTTTTTAGATCCAGCCATAAGGGGCGTCTCGTGGTTTGTATTCCCACCATGCATTTCAGTGGAACACTTTCTTTGTGTGGAGAACTCTATCTTGTGTTTCTAGTATCTTTGATATATATATATATTTTTAAAAATTAAATGGAAATAGTGAATTTGAAGAGGAGTGGAGTTGTTTTGTTTTGTTGGGAATAATTTCTGGGATAGGAAGACAAGAATCTTAACTAAAACCACAGAGCTCATTGAAGTAATTCCTATTGTTATTGTGTATTCATGTTTACAGTTTATAAATGCTATGCAAATCCCACTTAATTATTATTACTTTTTGAAAGCACAGATAAAATAAATTTTCTTCCACTTTTTATACAGTAAGAATCTTCATTCGGTACCCTAGACCAATGTGGATAGCAGCTGATGTTGTATTCTCTGCTTGTAATAGTTCCCCCATTGATCTTGCTCTTCTTAAGTTAAAACATTGTCCAGAACAATTACAGAGTGTTAAGCCATCAAACAACATCACTAAAGGTATGTCCTTATAATTTATTGTTTCAATTCAAAGTTTTCTGAACTAAAAGCCATTAAAATACATAAGCCAGGTTATAATATGCAGTGCAATAAAATGGAAGTGCTGCATAAAGAGGGCACAATTTAAAGCCAGGTCCAAAGGAAAAAAGTTTTGTGTTGTACAACTGATTTTTGTGTGTCACTGTTTTATGATGAAAAACTTGGGAATGTTTAAATGGTACAGAATTTTGAATATTTCAGAACTCAAACACCCCTGCAAATTGCAACATCAAATAATTATAATATTTGAGTCTTATTGGATTTTTCATTGTGATAGTCACTAAGTTTGATTTTTTTGATTGTTTTTTGTACTACTGTATTTCATAATATGAATGATAGGGAGCAAGTCTTCTTCAGGTTTTTTCCATTCCCTATCCAGGCAATCAAATTTATTTTAATTCTGTATACTTTTTTCAAATAAACTCATTAGCTTGCCCTCCGTAATTGATGTTAGATTTTTTTTATACCAAGTAAATAAATAAAATAAATAAATATATTATCAGTATAAATAAACTGTTTTGGCTGTTAATAATAAACATTATTAAATGACATTGGTAATATTAATTAAATTAGTAATATTATCAATAAATCGATCAACCAAATGTTTTCCTTCACTGCTGTGTCTACCATCTGTTACCTTTCCTCCAGCTGCATTAGCACTCAATTCTTCCTGTCTCCGTTACACCTTGCTTACCATTCTGTTCATTTCTTTGTCATTCATTTATTCATTCAGCTGTTACTTTCTGTTAACAAAAATAAATTGCATGTGAGTGTAATACAGTACAGTAATTTCATTAATATAATGTGAATTAATTTCATCAAAGAATTCAAGCACTGTACAATATATTCCTGAATTAGGTCAGAAGGTAATTGCCGTTGGCCATGCTTTATTTGGGTTTGAAATACAAAAACAACCTTCGGTGACGTCAGGAATTGTCTCCAATACTGTTAAATATAAACATCAACTTGTGATGGTACAGGTAAGATATTTATATAAGATATATTCAAAAATTTTTTACCTAACAAAGAATGTGAGCGCATAAATTTGTGAACATCCACTTTAATATGCAAATTAATAGTACTGTATTGTTATTATCTGTCACATATTATATTAACAACTATTTTTATTACTATGAATAAATGTGGTTGCTTACCGGAAAAAAAAAACTATTTTTAATACATTTATTTACAGTCAACATGCGCTGTTCATAGTGGTGCAAGTGGTGGCGCTCTATTATGTGCAGAAACAGGGCATCTTATCGGGATCATTGCAAGTAATTCTAGGGACATAGACACCAATGCATCATTTCCACATGTTAATTTCAGCATACCAGTATCTACCTTCTGGCTCGCAATCAAATCTTACATTCAAAGTACAGGTAAGTTAACTTCTTTGAAATGTTATACCAAGCAACATGCATTGTTCATTGCATGATGCATAATTATCAATATTCAACAATATTTGAATCCAATATCATTCAAATACCTTTGGTTGCTTTACCAACTCAGCTACGGTATAAGTGGGAGAGTAACCAAATGGTGGTTTATTTTAGCATTTTTTGTTGAGGACCACTGTGGCATTTAACGTTAATATAAACAGCTTTGTTATTTACGGACCTGGGAAGTAGAAACGAGCGTGGTTATGCAAACGTTTCTTTAAGCATTTTCTTGGTTTTTTTTTTGGAATTGTCTTTAACATAGCAATTTTAGACGCAATTTGTGGGTTTGGGCATTTGGTTGTCTAAAGCAATTACAATTTCCCCATAAACAGAGTTGTTTCATTGAATACCATCAAGACGTTCCTGAATACAAACATCTTTCCACAATTTCAACGCACAATTATGCTAATACCTCACTATTTTTTCATTGACTATAAGCATGAGATGGTCTGAAATTGTACTTTGCATGCATATCATGCGGAATGGAACAATTAAAAGCTATTAAGTTGTTAAAGGTTTCCTCCAACTGAGTATGCATAAATAGTCCAATATTTACACAATCTCATCTCGGAAAATTAAAGCCTTATTTTGTTGTGGATGATTCAGTTGATAATTCAATTACACATCAATTCATGCAAAACACTGTAGTGAATGTTAGCAGTTTAACCAATTTTAACACTATGATATTTCTGTGTGAACACCCCCTAGAGTAATAACATCTCAACACTAGCTTATGGTCAATTCTGTCATCCTTCTACTCCAAATTAAATCTGTGTTCACTGGCTCAATTCAGTCTGCTGTCATCTCCATGTTTAAGCTGGACTGCTGTAATACAATACAAGTTACGATAGCAAACTATCTTTAGGATAAGCCATTAAAAAGCCATTGGTCTCATGTGCAGTATGGCCCTTGTGTATGTTAAAGAACGCAGTATACTCTTGGGGAAAGAGTAGGGGATTGTCGACTAGGGGATTATCTCCCAATGTACTGCCCAATTCACCACAAGAAGGACTCACTGGAAACAAGTTTCTGGGTTATTTTTGGTGTGATTCACACAAAAAATAATCCTATCCTATCCCAATAATGTCTTTTGTAAAATTCTTAATATATGCTGCAAATGTATTTTAAAAAAATTGATTATTGATTAATAATAAAGATACCGATATATTGTAATGCAGTATAGGCATCTTTAAGCAGTATAACACTTACAATAACATTTTTCTGCATCTACATATCACAATAAAATAAAGTAACTGAGTGTTTATATCTTGCAGACATTCATAAGCTTGATATTTTGAATAATACCAACTCATCAATAAGACATTTATGGCAGCTTGATGCACCAGAAATCAATATAAATAGTAAACTATAAGGATCATGAAATGCAATTACAGGATTGAGAAGCCTGGATGTTTAGATTTGCATCTGCCATAGATGAAGAGAATAAAAGTCAACCAAGTTGCATTCCGATTAGAAAATAAAGTTGATATCTTCAGCATTAATGTTGGAAGCAAAATGCAACCTGCTTTGAATCCACTCAGCAGAATAATGGCTTATCCAGATGTCAACATACAAGATATATATTTTTTTTGGCGTGCAAAACATGGTTCACATGAAATTTGGTTTCTAGATGCTTCACCAGAGAATAAAAATAAAATCTTAAACTACAAAACATAAAAATGTGTAAAAGACAAGTAACTACAAAATATAAACTTATTGCAATACAGAAATTGGAACTTAAACTACTTACTACTAAAACTAAAAGCATATTTAAAAGAAATGGCAAGGCATATTTTAGGATAAATAGAATAATAATGACAAAAGATACATACTGTAATTCAGAGGTTGAGTGAAAATTAAAGTAACATGTTAAATACTTTAAAATATCTATTGAGGTTTTAATTAAAGAGTTCCTAGACCTATTTGAATTACACCTCAGACAGCAAAGCTTACCTCATTTATTGCACAAGTATCAATGGTGCATTGGATGAGACCCATCCTTAATCATTCAACACAACATATGTTTGTGTGTTGATTTCCTAATGATTTTCAAAATAATGTTATAAATTTATTTTTTTTTGTATAAGTCAGCATAAAATATTTTTTGAAAATAAAACTGTATAAATATTAAGATTTATACCAGTGTGCTGAAAGGTGTGTGCAATAATGAAACAGTATGAGCTATGATTTAAATGTGATTATATAGATATTATTATCATTAATTGGAATATATTTTGGTCTCTCAAAATCTAATAAAACGCCGAATTGTGTAACATGTTTATTATTTGTAGTTAGTTGTATTCGTTGTGTGTACCATTCTGTTTTCATATAATTTAATAATGTGTACCAATTTTTAGTATTTCTTTTTGCTTAGGTATTAATCCAACATTTTTTAATGGTAATAACTAATTCTAATTTCAGTAAAATAAATCCATCAACAATTAAGATAACATAACAATTTTGCGTGCAAGTGTTTTACTGTACACACAGTCTGCATATTGGTGTATAGGGGTGTGTAAGTTAGAATACCTTCCAAATACTACATTTGGGTTTAACATTTCTTGAAGAAAAAAATCTAAATATTCAGCTATTGCGCTAAATTAAAGATGTATACTGTATCTGCCAACAACCTCAAAAATTCAATTAAAATTTTGAAAAGCTCATTTTAAAGGATTAAATAGATTAATCTTCAACCAGGAACCAGTCCAGATAAAAGTTTTCACTGATTTTTCAGCATTCACACATAGTGGAACGAATTTTTAAGCTGTGCCCTTACAACTCACCACTTTTCAGTTCAAACTTGCACTCATCCTCATTCAAACCGATCGCATGTATATATATATATATATATAT